ATCAAAATTCTTTTTATCAATCAACAAAGTTTATTCTAGCCAATCAGTTTCAGGCATAGGGAGTGGGGCGGCGTTGAGATTAAGAGGTTAAACGTCATCAAAACAATCAACTAGCAGATGTCAGTAACAAGGCATATCTAAGTTTTGAAGTAAGGTTGAAAATAATTAATTCATTACATAATTCAAGGTCAGTCAATTGAGCAAAGAATATCCTTTTCGATAATTTCGTCTTCTGGCTCTACAAATATATATATATATATATATATATATATATTGTTTATATACATAGAGTATTCTAGAATAATGAGAAACTATATAGATAAATCGTTGGTGTGGCAATGGGGTCACCACTAGGATCCATTCTAGCCGATATTTTTAATGCGAAACTAGAAAATGGGCCTTTGAAAAATGTTACTAATGAACTTGAATCCTCTTGTTGATGTACATGGATGGATGATGAATTTTTGATTATGAAAAAATGAGGATGAAGCAAAGAACATGCTTGTTGACAGTTGTAACGATGTTCATCCTGCAATAAATTTTACTAGTAAGGAAGAAAAAGCCTCTAGTATTTCATTTCTAGATGTCCTTATGACTAGAAAAAATGGGTTGGCACAATAAGAAGAAGTGTATATAGAAAACCTACATCGACGGGTCAGTGAACTCATTTTTTTCAGCTTCATGTCCTTGAAATAAAAATGCGATCTGATAAAGTGCTTGGTTCACAGGGCAGAAGCAATCTGTTCGGATGAATGTCTTGATGAGGAACTTAATAATATTAAACGGTTATCCAGAAAGGTTAATTGATAAAAACACGCATCTAAAATTAAGGCAGCTCAAGGTACAATCAGTTTCTAAAAAGCGCCTTCTTCTTACAAATTAACTTGCTCGGGATAAAATCAGCGAGATACTAACACAATGCCTTAGGAATACGGTGTACAAAGAGCGTTCCCTGTGACTGAATTACTCTGTGTCTTTAAAACCACCCACTGCCATTTTGCGTTCGGTAGTGACACATAAACTGCCTAATTTCGCCTCTTCCATATTTATCTACCAGTTTAACTGCTCCTGTGGAGTCAATTACAAAGGCCGTACAATTAGGCGTGTTTCTCATTACATTTCCTAACATCATCCTGCACAGTGGTTGGTTAAATAAAGGACAAACAAAATCTATTCACATAGCGCTCGCTATTCTATCTCATCTTGTGGATACACAACACAAGACTTATGTCAACCAGGCGGTTTTCAAAGTCATTTACTGCATACCAACAAATATTCATTTCGCCTTAATAGTTTGATTACTAAATATTACTGAGGCCAACCGTTAGCATGCACACTAAGACGCCTAATTTATGCGTCCAAAAGGAGTTAGTTTAGACATTGTCCTTACCTTGGCAATCTAGGTTCGAATGACCCTCAACTTTTTGTAGAAATTCCCTTAATTTTAGTTGATTTTCTATTTGCTGCTGTAACAACAGAAGACAAGGGCCAGGTAACAGATCGTTTATTAAGGAAATCAACACATATTTATAGATTTTTATGTACATTATTATAGATTATTGTTAGCTGAAAAACACAGTCTTCTGATTGGTTGTCTCTCACAGAAAGTTAGCCTTGAATCTCTTTGTGGCTGTTTCTTGAATGTCAGATCATCTTTATGCTAATAGTATCCGCCTATGCAACGTCTACTGTGATTGGTTGTTGAATTAGTCTTTGTTCTAATTTTTCTCACCACCAATATTGGGGACGTAAACACTGACGTCATCATCGAACAAAGCATGGAATGGCAATCAAACCTAACTCTACCTCAACTTTATAGACTTCGAGAAGGCCTTCGACAGCGTTGATCGCGAAGTAATTCGGAAACTACTCGAATACTACGGCGTACCTCAACTATTCATCAACCTTATTCAACAGCTGTACGACAACGGCACATGTCGAGAGATCCGCAATGGAAAACTCAGCGAGGCGTTTGGAATAAACACAGGAGTCAGACAAGGGTGCTTACTATCACCAATGATATTCCTAATTGTGGTGGACTGGATTGTGCGTCAGACAGTGGGAAACGAGCAGACAGGGACATCCTGGACCGACGTGAAGAACTTAGAAGACCTGGATTTCGCCCGTGGACGATTTGATGTCACACAAAATGGAAGGCCTACAAGCGATAACCGACAAACTGGTCGAAGAAACAGCAAAGACGGGACTCCATTTGTACAAAGACAAGACGGAGGTTATGAAAATAACCAGCCAACAACAGCAACAGCAGCAACATCCAGCGCCAATCACCATCAACGGGGGGGATTTGAAAGAGGTAACTTCATTCACTTATCTAGGGAGCATTGTCTCAACTACAGGTAGCCAGAACAGACGAGGATGTCAAATCGAGCGAGAATCGGGAAGGCGATAAACGCATTCACTGATCAACCTGAAACCAATCTGGACAACCGCTCTTCGTCACTCAGCATCAATAACAAAATGCAGTTGGATTTTCAATACAAACGTTAAGTCAGTGAGTTCTTCTATACGGATCAGAAATTTGGCGGGCGGATCACAAAGAATATTTCCAACAGCCTGTTGCAGACCTTTATCAACCAAGAACTGTCTTCGCTGGCTCTATACTGAAGATCAGATAGCCGGGCCGGAAAGAACCACCACCAAGAAACTCTGACGGGGAACAAACAAAACAAGAACCAATCGTCAACCAACAAATATGCAGGAGAAAGCGGAGATGGATTGGACACTCGCTCACTGGGTGACATCGCACGCGCGTCAGGCCATTGCTTCAGTAGAACCCGAAAGGGAGGAGATCGTGTGAAGCGGAGTTGAAACAGTAAGTACTAACATGGATGCAGGTGAAAAGTACAGTAGAATGAAGACAGAAGAGGCGAGTGGAGACGTGCAGTTGAAGCCCTATGTTCCACTAGGAACCCAAAGGAACAATAATAATAATAAACATTGACGTAAATTACTGTCCACCAATTTCGGCTAACAGCCCTCTCTCACCACACTACTATATTTTTATTATTAGTAGTGGTAATAGTAGAACTATAATTTAAGCATCTTTCTTGAACTGTGGTGATTCCACTGTGATATTACTGAACAAATCGATTATATTTAAAAAAACACTAATATTGTTATTAACTACTATTCTACAATATTCTATGTATATAAACATGCATATATGATCGTAGAGCCAGAAGAGGAGGAATTTATCGAAAAGGATATTCTTTGCTCAATGATTTTGTTACTTTTATAGATGTCATTTTCGCTATATCTCAATCAGTGTGTTTGTAACGTCTGATTCCTAATTTCATTATTAACTTTAATAAAAACAAGTGAATAACATCTTCAACCAGTATTCAATGTTCAACGTTCAATGATCAATATTTCAAGGGTTGTACTTCTTATTATAATAAATGCAGCTATGTTCAACGAATTTTTTTTGGTCTGTACATTTTAACAAAAGCGAACTTCTATGCCTTAGGTTTTTTTTGTCATTTATTTTCTACAAAATAATTCGTTATAAATTATTTAGTTAAAAAAAAAAGAAATATATTCTAGTTGTTATTGTATTGGTAGGAGTGCGTTTTATTCAGTCATCACTTTCGTCAAAAATTTCGCAGTTCTTACTCCATTCTTTTACCGCAAAAAAAAGTATTAAAAGGAGAACAACGGAATTAATTTGTATCTTCAGTCGATTATGCAATCGATTTATTTATTTATGTATTTAACTTTAAACTTTTTTTTCGTATATCCTTTAAAATTCATTAGAAAGATTAAAAAAGGCCAAACGAAAAATAAAAATAATTGTGAAACTATTAATAATAATATAAATAAGAGGGAATGTAAGCCATCTACAGTGATAGCATATAAAGAGGGGACATCTGAAACCCTACGTAGGATTCTAAAGAAAGCAGGAATAATGGTGGCATTAGGGTGAATTTACAAACTTACTCAGGTAGAACAAGCTCTGTAGGTTAAAGGACCTTGTCGGTTGACGCAATTAAACAAAATGATATAATTTACAAAATATCTTGCAATGACTGTGAGGTCAACTACATTGGTCAAACTAGTACGTCAGGGGTAGTCAGATTGTCAGAGCATAAGAATTTAGCTAAGGTAAGAATGGTTGACCCCGAGAAGATAAATAATTTAGAAAAAAGCTCAGCAACTGCAATGCATGCGCTAACACACAATAGGGTGAGAAGGAGGGGGTTAAAATTCTAAAAAGTAATCTAGGTAGGTGGAGAGAGAAATTGATTACTGAATCCTTATTCATCGAGTCTACACCCAACACATGCAATAGAAATGATTCATCACCCATACCTGAAATATGGAAAATACTACGCCAGTCAAATCAAGTGAAAATATTGGAACTATATAAATGAAGTTAGGAAGTCGTGTGAGGGAGTACCTTGATATGATTATGAGTGGCAATAAATTGTGCTCGAAACATGGTCATCAGTAAACATTACTGTATAACACTGTGAGACTTTATCAAAACAAAATTTACCCAGAATGGAATTAAAAAAAACTACCACAGTGCACAAGTTTTATTCTTATATCAATTCGTGTAAAACAGTTGTTCACGAGTGGTTCATTGTGATTAAGTATTCATCAGCTGTGCCTGATGTGCTCCAGTCCCGATTCCCAATAGACTGATTCCTACCCGTCTTGAGAACAGCACTACTTCCGTTACAGGATTTCCTGATGAGCTGACATTATCAGTTAGAGAGAACCATTGGAATCATTTGATCGAGTCCAAGTGGCCCTAATGGTCTACGATCTAGCTCGCCTTGTAGCTAAAAGGTCCTAAGTTCCAAAGCTGATGGTGGGTGCTTACCGATGAAGAGTCCAAAACTAGGACGACAGAAATAGCTGTCTGTTCAGTACTCCCCTAGTAGTAGGTTTTTTCCAATGTTTCTCTAACCGATAATGTCAGCTCATAATGAAGTCTTATAACAAATAATTCATTAATTAATGGTGCTAAAACTTACACTGTTATAATACTGCTTTGTTTTCCTTCAGGTTTCTGTTCCTCTGTTACCTTTTTATCATATTCCTCCGGATTGATTGATATTATTGATCCCAGAGCTCCTTCATTATCAATCATTTGAACAAAGGCTTTCTCATCTAATTTTGTATCTGATGATAATATCCCATGATAATCAGTATTTGGTGTTACACCGTTGAGTTTTCTTTGATATGCTGGATTTATGTGGTTGTTGTTGTTGTTGTTGTTGCTGTTGCTGTTGTAGTTATTATTGATGGTAGCAGTTTCATTCAACTTGTTAGTTTGGGCAACTTTTACAAAGGTTAAATCAGATGTAGGTTGATGCAACAATGCATTTTGATTGTCTAAATTAGGTTTAGATGTTTTCTTCTTTTCATTCAAGTTATTCGACTGCTGTTGACTGTTGTGCTGATTGTAACCTGAGTAGTGATCATGTCCATTAACGGTGGGAGTTATTTTCTGTATCAATCAATAAAAAACACAGATTGATGGATGAATTTATACCGATTATAATGTGATTGGATTATATAGTTATCTGTCACTAGCGTATATGTTATTATTGTCAAAGAAGCCTTGTATAAACATCTTTATTCACAAATGTTCCACGAGGAGAAACAGTTAAGTACCTATGTGAACAAGTGGATCACCAGTCGATAAATATTGGCATCCAAACAGAAATCCTAAAAAAAATTGCTATTAAGATGTATCATAAATGTAAATATTTCAAATCTAATGGCACACTTTACAGACAAGTAGACGGGGTGGCGATGGGCTCTCCATTGTTCCTTTCCAAGGTAAACTAGAAAATGGACCTTCGAGCAACCACATTATCAGAAAGTTCTCATTTTATTTCCGGCTTAAGGATGAAACCTTCATTCCTTTTGCTTATGATTTGGATAGGAGTACAATAATTACTGAATTCAGTAAAATACATTTTGCTATAAAATTCACGTGCAAAGCGGAATCTCAAATTAGAATTAATTGCCTTTCTATATGTCATCCTTATGAGAATACCAGACGGTAGAATGAAAAAATATTTGCATAGAGAAAGTACTTGGACAGGACAATATATACACATTTTTACAGCTTCTTTCCTCTCCAGTACAAACGAAATTTAGTAAAGACACTCAGCCACAGGGTAAGTTATTTATTTTTTTATTTTTTACTTTTTTATATTTTTGATTACAGCTTGATTCCACACCGTATTTTCGGTACAAGTATGGAATTTTCAGCATGGATATCGGTAGCCCAAATTTCGCAGGCCGACCATAGATATCAGGTGTGCGTCGGCGTGGGCTCGAACCCCGGACCATGAGCATGGCCGGCGAGAGTCCCAACCACTGTGCCACCGACGCACAGAGTTATATGCTCAGAAGAGGTAACTGAGGATGAATTAAACATTGTATATGATACCTTGATTGAAAATAGCTATCCTGACAAATTTCTCAACAAACACATGACAAAGAAAGCGGAAAAGGACTACTTGCTATACGTAAACAAGAAACCACTTTATATACGGGTGCAATTCAAGGGCGATATACAAAGTGAAATAATTACGAAGAAATTAAGAAATTCAATTCAAAGAAATTTTAATTCTGGCGAACTACACGTCTTTTCCTCTTACACGACTGATAGTGAATCCTCGATTGAAAGATGAAGTACCTAGACTAGCTAGCCACTTCCAGTTGTACCTACCAATTCAACTGTGCTTGTGGTGGAGCGAGTTATATTGGCCGTTGCTCTAGGAACTTGATTTTTCGTGCTCGAGAACATCTCCCAGTATGGCTAATGAAAGGAAGGCATAGTAAAACCCATCAACGGGTCGATATTAGATCATCTGTCCCAAGCCGGTCACAAAGCCAGCATTGAAGAACCCTTCTCTATCACCTGCCGGGTACCTAATAAATTGCTGAAAGTATCCAGATACCAACGGAATACTCTATACAGCACAGGCTATTGCAATTCGCGTGAAACAACCAGTGCTCTATGTGCGAACGAAGCAAGTCCAACTAGCCACTACTACTACCCTGGTTGGCCTTCAGTAGAGACTATAAATTCATGAATTTGTATGATTATATTTCCTAATTTTTCTGACATTCAGTTTATTGTTAGGGTGATGCTATTGAATGATAATCCATTAATATTTTTTATTCGTGGTTATTCAAATATTAATGCTGTTCATAACACTAATTCATTCACTACAATTATGTATTTATAACTGTATAGCCTAATGATGAAGGGGTTATCGAAAAGAGTATTCTTTGTTCAGCAACCATTCTTAGATAAATGTTAGTTCAGAGCATAATATGAGGTCAGCATTTATTTTATTTCGCCAGCAGGTTCTCTTCACTTGCTCAAAGCCTAAAAGCTGATTATGTAATTGCACACATTATTATCACCTTTAAAGGTGGTAATATTACAGGAATAACCAACCAAAGACCGAAAGCTTCTCTAGGCTTACTTCAAATGTGCACCACGGATGTAGATGGTATATCTATGGATAGTCCACTAGGCCGTGTACTAGCAGATATCTTCATGTCTAATCTTAAGATGACAAAGCTGAGAATTGTGATTGATCTGGCAATTTCACAATAGCATATGAAAATGATGGAAAGTTCCATTTCTTCGATATTGATATACAACAAGTAAAAGATGAGAATCTGTAAATATCGGTTCACCAAAAAAACTGCATGTAATGGACTGTATTTAAGTTTCAACAGTTTTATTTCCAATCAGATTTAAACGAGTGTAGATCAAAACTCTATTCTATACAGCTAGAAGAATATGTTCCACAGAAATACTGGAGCAAGAACTCCTAAGCATTGAGAAAGTTTTGGAAAATTATGACTGTTCTGTGAAATTCATCAAAATACTATGAAAGATCCGAAAATATGAATGGTTGAATCAAGCCGCAGTAAATAACAAACCTATCATCATCTAACTGGATTTTAAAGGTGATAATTTTGCAGGAAGAATTAACAGAAGACTGAAACCTTCTCTAGCTAGACCTTGTTCTGCAGCCAAGTCGGTTCATATTTGTGGAACAGTGGATTCTCTAGGTGAGATCAAAGTTTGATAGATGCTCTCCTCATCTCAATTCTAATTATGTGTCTGCAGAAGTAGTTACACCCTGAGAAATAGAAAAAAGGGCATATATATATTTATCTTAGATTCTGTGAACATGTACCCAAAAACTCTACGTTTCAAGGGAACGAATGCTTTAAGTATTCCTATTACCAAACATTTTCTTCATACGGGTCATGAAATGGGCACTGAGAATCCCTTCAAGATTATCAAATCTCCCCAGGTTTGTCAAAGCAATCTCTATCAGTCGTCTGAAAGCCAGTTTAACTGTTCATAAAGAAGCATTTATCAGTCTATCCTATCCAACCTAGTAACTGGATGTCTTTATTCTCTCTTTCATTTCATTACGTAATCTTTGGCTTTAAACTCATTCCTACCCCTTTGATTTAGTGTAATTCTGATTGTCTCTTGTTTCTATGGTTTGAGTTGAACTCAGTAGATTGTCACCCAATTTATTAGTTATTCGTCATCGTACGTACCTTTATTCTTCATTAAGTAACTTCCTTACCCCTGTATGCATACATTTACTTTGTTCAAACTTGAACTGCCAGTATAAAAACTACAATTTACTGCAATTTACTGAGTAAAAAGTTCACAAAGTTCAAAACTTTCTGTCAACTGACTGATATGTATCCACATATATATATTTATGCGTGTGTGTATGTTGGTCTCTCTTTCTGTTTGCTCGCTTAGTCTGTGACCATTTCACTTGTATGAACCTGTCTTCTTTAACAATGTATATTCCCCTTATATTATATATAATATGAGTGTTTGTTGACAGTCCGTTGCTTGGTGACATATATCCATATATGGTGGTTGTTGACATGTCTGCTATATTTCGCTATGTATATATGGATCGATACTTCATTATAATTAGCCATTCATGTTAAGACTCTCTAATGATTGTTCACACCCTTGTCTGAATATTCATATATATATTTCGCTCTCACAATTTGTGTGACTTACCTACTTTACTTACTTACCACTTTGGTGTGATACCACTTTTGCATTCTCCTTGTGTTTGGACAATAGAAGTATCATCGCAAACCTAGTGGTCTTCTGATTTCCGCCTTCTTGCGTCAGGACTATTAGTTTCTCGACCAGTCCATAACAATAATTTAGCGACGAGTACATAACACTGACATCATATTCAAGTATGTTAAAATTATCTTTATACATGAACTTAATAATACTTGATTTAGGCTGTTAGCAGCAGTTGATGAGGAAGCCAATGAGAAAAACAAATGATGTCACCATTTAAATTCTGTTGTAAATCACTGTTATTCTTGCTTTACTCAAAATTTAACTATCGCCAGTTAAGGATAGTTTTTAATAATTAACTTTGTTTCTGTTCTTGTTAAGCCTTCATATATGTCATTAATCATAATTATATAAGTTATACTTCCTAATAAGAATAAAGCAATTATTCTAGAAGAATTATAGATTTCCAGACCATAGGTGTTACGAACTTCCTGCAATAATTTGAGCGCCGAGTCAAACTGATTCATTATAAATTAGTTAAATTAATCCCAGCGTGGTATCCCAGCGAGGTACTGGGAAACAGAAAAATCTTGTTTTGATTTTCTTTAAAACGCTGGGATTAATTTAAATAATTTATAATTCTAGATGAATATTCAGAATTCCTAGCCAACATCAACAGCAACCACAACAACAACAGACAACAATCAGCATAAGTGGGAAAAACCTGAAAGAAACAGCCTCCTTCACCTACCTGGGAAGCATCGTCTCAACTACAGGCCAACGGAACTGACGAGGATATCAAAGCCAGAATCGGAAAAGCAAGACAAGCTTTCATTACTCTCAAATCTGTGTGGAGGTCAACAGCACTCAGCATCAAAAATAAGATCCGGATTTTCAACTCCAATGTAAAGTCAGTGCTACTATACGGATCAGAGACTTGGCGAGTCATAAAGAGCATCTCAAACAAACTTCAAACCTTCATTAACAGTTGTCTTCGCTCAATACTCAAGATCAGATGGCCGGCCAGAAAAGATCAGCCACACGGATCTCTGGGAACGAACCAATCAGGAAGCGATTGTGAAACAAATAGGCAGGAAGAAATGGAGATGGATTGGCCATACGCTGAGGAAACCATCAAGTGACATCACTAGACAAACCCTCGGGTGGAACCCAAAATGGAAGCAGCGAGTTGGTCGTCACTGCAAGGGTGACTTGGAGGAGGTCATGTGAAGAGGAGATGAAAGCTTGTGAATGGCAGACTTGAAGCCAGGTGAAAACTCTAGCAGAGAATCAAACACAATGAAGATGCGCGGCTGAAACCCTATGTTCCTCTAGGAATTAAAAAAAAGAAATAATAATAGTTCCACTTGAAACCCGACGGAATAATAATAACA